TCAAAATTCAAAAAAATAATTATATTTAGTAAAATTTATCTTTATCTGTAAACTGATTTTAATAAACTTTATCTTCCAAATTTTTTTTATATATTTTTATATTTAGAGAATAAAAGAAATTTTTTGATGGAAAATTAGTTTATATAGGAAAAAATAGATTGAAATTTGGCTTTATCTAGTATAGAGTTAATTTTCGATTGAAATTTTAAAGATCAATGATAACTTCCCATTCTAATTCAAAATTCAAAAAATTAATTATATTTAGTAAAATTTATCTCTATATTTTGTAATTTTTATTTTCTGATTTTAAATTAATTTAGTTAATTTAATAATAAAGATTATTAATAATTATTAGTTATTTAAAATATATATTTTTTGTGGTGCTGACACGTGTCACTTTTTACTTTTCTTATTATGTATAGATAGATTATTATCTATTTAAAAATACAAAATTTAAAATAAATATAGACACATGTCAATAATAAGAATTGGATTGATTTAGTTCTACGGTAGTTACATACAATTTTGAATAAGCATAAAACTTTTTTGATACATTCTAAAATAATTTTAAAATTAAGTCAATTTTAAAAAATATTTAAATTATATATTTAAATTATTTTTTTAAATAGTACACAATTAATTACTACCTTTTTGTATTTTTTTAATATCTTTAAAAAATAAAAATAAAAGAAATACAAAAATGTAAGATTTCTTTTTGATACATTCTAAAATAATTTTAAGAAATTAGACAATTTCAAAAATATTTAAATTATAAGAAAAATTATTAGATTTTTTTTTTTGAAAAATACAAAATTATTAAAAACAACTATTAAAAACAATAATTACTATCTTTTTGTATTTTTTGTAATCTTTAAAAAAGGAAGAAAAAATGTACGGTTTTAATAAAAAACTAATCTAATGAACCTCCATATCCCCTATTAAAACCCAACTAAGAAGTACACGTAAACACAATTTTACACGCACATACAAATAAAAAAAAAGTATGTAACTCCTTCTTCGTTCTTCTTTTTTTACTTTATTTTTTAATATTGAATTTATATGAAAATGTAATTAATTTAAAATTCAAATTTCAAAAAATTAATAACTAATCTTATACCCAAAAAATACCTAACCATGTAACCCACGTTTTTTTGAGGAAAAAAAAACTACCCTTAACTCTATCTTTTTAAAATTCTACTCACACAATAATTTTCTTATTGTCTTATCTTTATTCAACCTCTTTAACATGGTAATTTTTTTTGTTTTTTTTCTTTTCATGGTGCTCTTTCAGTTTCTATAATTTCTTTTCTAACAGTTCCTTTGTTTATGCTAATGAATCTTTATAGTTTGAAGTGATGAGTTATACACATATAATATTTGTTACATACAGGAACAATATAGGGATATCCTTCCCAAGTCAAAATGTGGTGCAGACCTAGCGAGTTTGGATTGATGTTGGTTCTCTTATCTCTTTTTAAAAAAAAAAGTAATTGCACATATATTTCTTCTTCTTTATTCAAAATTTAGAATTATTATTATTCAATTTAGATGCTAGTATTTGAATAGTGATTAGGTAGTTAATCATTCCATCCAAATTACAATTTATTAGATTGATTTCACTTCATTTTTTATGAACTAATAAATGAGTTATTAGTTGGACGCATTTGTTCAGATGGGAGAGAATGTGAAACAAGACAATATTGAAAAGGTTATTTTGCTGTTTTACATAATTTTTCCGCTTCAAAGTTTACATATGCACATAAATGTAACTCATCAAACTTCGGAAGAAAAACTTTTAAGTTTAATACGCTGATAGCATAAGACCATTCATGGATCGTACTCTATTATTTAATTTAAAGTAATTTTTCTCATTTTTTTTTTTTGGTCTAATTATATGGTGATGAGGAGATGTAGATGTGGTATCAAATACACGAGTAAATATTGTGTTGCAAAGGGAGAACCACACAAATAATAGGAAACTAATGAAGGATAAATGAAAAAAAAAATTCAAACTCTTTAAACAAGACTTAATTCTGAATTTTTATTCAATTGAGAAAATGGACTACATGTAAACTTTAAAAAAAAGTGCATTTTCTTCTACTTTGTGACACCTGTTGTGTAGTTGATTAATTTGTAAATTATACATGTTAAGAATCAACATGGAGTGTATAATGTCATTTCTTATATTTATTTTCTTCCTTTCTAATGTGGTTTGAGTCAAGTTTTACATTTTCATAAGATTTTCTAAATAAAATTGTAATTGTGATATTAAATAGATACCCATTCACAGTACTTCTTTTGATAAAGTATAGTTAATGAGTAATATTATAAAAATTAACTATAAATTGTAAGACAAATACTTTGTTAGATTAGTTTGTATTAAATGTAAAGTGAGATTAGTTTGTATTATATTAGCTTATGTTGTATTTAAGTGGATTTGATCATAATTGAAGATTACATTTGAGAAGTTCTATGCGTATTTTCACCTATTATATATACCATTATTTTATGCATATTAAATAATGCTAAAACTAGTATTAACAAATTTAAATAATGAAAGAATCAAATAAATAGAATGAAAGAGCATAAATAAATAAATAAAATTTAAATAAAAAAATTGTTGAAGAGCATCACGTGAAGCAACTAAAAACACTCCACAAGCAAAATTTTACCGCCAGGAAATCTATTATCATAATGGGATTAAACTATGCTATACATGTTTGTATATAAAAGTTGATTTATGACTTAATAGTTGATACACTAATTTAAATGATTTTTTCAATGTAGACAAGTGTATACTATATATTTGAGCATAAATATAATACTAGTAACAACAACAACAACAACAACAACAACAACAACAACAACAACAACAACAACAACAATAATAATAATAATAATAATAATAATAATAATAATAATAATATTTCATAAATGTTCCAAATGACAACCACATATAAAATCCTTTTTTCCCGGTTTACTGTACTAATTTTAAAATATAAAATCCATAAAAAAATTCACGAAATATTAAAAATATTCAAAAAACTATATTCTTTATAATTTTTATTTTTTAATTTGAATTGATCCAAATCCTTATATGATAGATTTTTTTGAATTTCAAATTGATGACAACTTGTCACGACCCAGACTGCAGTTATTGACATCCACACTAACCCTTCGGTGGGAGAACCATTACTTCAACCCAACTAAGCAATTTAACAAAAACTAGACATTTAAAGATACGGAAGCAAGTTTAAATGACTAAACAAAATATGGAGTTCTCATAAACTCCGAAGGTCTAAAAAACCAACTAATGCAGAAATTCAACCCCAAGAACTGAAAGTCATTGTACCAAAACTCTAACGATTAACAAGTCTAAAAAGAGGGGGTGAAACCCCGAAAGCTAAACCTAACAACTTAAACAAATAGTCTGAGTCTGAAAAGAGTGGACTAAACAAGGATCCATGGCAGCCTGAAAGAACTGACTCACCCTTGAATCCGGTCACGATCAATAGTCTCCTAACTGAGGTCTGTCAGTAGCCGCCTGAAGATGCCTTGTACTCAACAAAAAAAGAGCAAGTGCAGTATCAGTACAAAAAACAAACTCTATTGGTAGGATCACACGACTACTCCCATAAGCACAATATACAATGAACGATTACAACATAGTAAGCACACATATACAAAATACAAAGATTAGTTCTCATTTTTGGAGGAACATACAATTCCAACAATATCAATGACAGGTAAACAAGAACGTAACAATCACAAGTGGTCCTCTCATGGAACCCACATCCAAACTATTAGTGTGTCGGAATGTGACACCCTATCCAATATACATGTATCAGAACGTGACACCCGATCCAATATATGCTTTGTAACGTGACACCCGATCTAATATATATGTCAGAACGTTACACTTGATCCAGTCAGCACAACCACAGTCACAATCACATCCATAGTCAACAATACTCAAATCATACAAGCAAGTAACAAGTTCATGACATGTATTGTTTACACGTCATCATTTCATTAGATTGATTCGCATTCCCTATTCACATACATGCACACATACAATGAAGAAATTATCTGGCATATATCACACAACATGTAATCAAACCATCACCTACCTCGAAACCAAACTTATTACTCCTAAGACACTTGAACCTTCCCTTTTCGGAGTCTTTTAACTTGTTCTTGGTCTAAAAAAAGTAATTTAACGCAAGAATCAATAAGCAAGGTCTAATTTACCCCGATTATAACAAACTTAATAACCCAAGACCAAACCCCTGATCCTAAAGTTCAACTAGGGCTTTTTCCCACCATCAACTTTAGCCAAAACCCTCCCCCAATGATAATTACCCAAGAATCTAAGTTCTAGGGATTGAAATACGGATTAGAAGAGTAAAATCCTTATCTTTAGCACTAAAAGTCGTGGAAAACTGTCAAGAAATTACCCTGGGTCGTCCCTTAGCTCGTAAGAATGAAGTTTTGCATAAAATAATGAAATTGGGGTTTTTCCCTGATTTAAGTCGCGACTGACCTGCCACAGCGGACCCTATCCCGCTACAGCGGCCGCGCCTCGGCGGCTTGCACGGAGACAGAAGCTCGGAATTTGAGTTCCAAGCCCCCATTTCACAACACACTTTCAAACCAGGACGTTCTAAAATTACCCTTTCATGCCAAAATCTGTTTCGGGAGATCTACTCGCCCGAATTTAATTCCGTAAAGCTGTACAAACTTCTTAACGTCTTGGCTATCCACTCATGTGATCAAATTCATAATTAGACCCCTCATTCATTACCAGATTTTTCTAGACTTCACCTGTCTCAGATTTCTTCCAAGTCTGGCCTAGGCTAGAAATTTCCAAGTTACTACTCAGAAGTTTTCTTGCCTAAAATCCTTCCCCATTGGCTTTTCCATAATGACAGGAACATGTCGTTACATACATACCAATTTAGCCATCACTCATCCCCAAGTGATAACTAGGAGAAAAAGGGCTAAAGCAAGAGTAGAGTAGTACCTGAGTTGTCGAATAACTGGGGATATTTGTCTTGCATGTCCTTCTCGATTTCCCAAGTAGCTTCCTTAACCGTATGATGCTTCCATAGAACTTTCACAAACTTTATCTCCTTGGTCCTCATCTTTCGGACATCGCGATCCAGAATTGCCACTGGTTCCTCCTCATACTGAAAGTCTTTGTCGAACAAAACAGAGTTCCACTTTATAATGTAATCTCTGTCCCCATGATACTTTTTCAACATGGACACATGGAACACTGGATGGACTCCAGAGAGGCTAGGCGATAGAGCTAACCTCTAAGCCACTGGCCTTACACAGTCAATAACCTCAAATGGACCAATGTATCGAGGACTAAGCTTTCCCTTCTTACCGAATGTCATCACCCCTTTATGGGTGACAGTTTTAGAAGAACTTTCTCACCAGCTTGAAATGTCATGTCCCTTACCTTACGGTCCGTATACTTTTTCTGTTGACTCTGGGCTACTAGAAGCTTAGCTTGGATGCTTCTTACCTTATCCCGAGCATCCTTCACAAAATCAACCCCCAAAGGTTTCACATCTCTAGCCTCAAACCACCCTATGAGTGATCTACATCCTCTCCCATAAAGTGCCTTGAACGGTGCCATGTCAAGCTGGAGTGGTAACTGTTATTATAGGATAACTCACACAAAGGTAGGAGCTTATCCCAATGCCCTCCAAAGTTAATCGCACATCCCCTCAACATGTCCTCTAACACTTGAATAGTTCTCTCTGACTGTCCGTCCGTCTGTGGATGAAAAGTTGTGCTAAAAATGAGTTCAGTGCCCAACTCCTCATGTAATTTTCTCTAAAACTTGATGTGAACTGCGTACCATGGTTCGAGATGATAGAAAAGGGCACCCCATGCAACCTCACTATCTCTTTCACATAAACCTTTGCCAACTGTTGAGTATTATAGTCCATTTTGACTGGAATGAAGTGGGATGACTTAGTCAGTCTATCAACCACCACCCAAATGGAGTCAAACTTTCCCAAAGTCTTGGGAAGACCTACCACGAAATCCATAGCTATCCTTTCCCACTTCCATTCCGGAATTGGCATTCGGTGAAGCAAACCTACATGCCTTTGGTGCTCATACTTTACCTGCTGACAGTTTTGGCACTTAGCCACAATCTCAGCTATGTTTTTCTTCATACCAGGCCACCTATAAAGCCGTTTCAAATCTCGGTACATCTTGGTCACACCCGAATGAATGGAATACCACAAACCATAGGATTCTGTCAACATCTTCTAAATCAAGTGATCCACTTGGGGAACACAAATTCTTTCGTTAAACATGAGCACACCTCCCTCATCAAGAAACACATCTTGTGCTTTACCAGGCATTGTCTTCTTTCTGAGCTCATTCAAACTCTCATCCCCAAACTATTTGGTCTTGATGGTCTCCTCAATGAATGTGGGTCTAATCTCAATGCTATCTAAAATCCCACCTTTTTCTGAGATGCCCAACTGCATGAACTTAGACTCCAAGGTATCAAACTCTTTGGCCAAGGGTCGCTTGGACACCCCCTAACAAGCTCAACTACATATACTTACCATCTTCCATCTTAGTGCGTCTGCCACCACATTAGCCTTACCCAGATGATACTGGATGGTAACATCATAATCCTTAAATAACTCCATCCACCTTCTCTTCCTCAAATTCAGGTCCCTTTGAGTGAATACATGTTGTAAACTACGATGATCAGTAAATACCTCACACTTGACACCATAAAGGTAATGCCGCAGATCTTGAGAGCAAACACTACCGCTGCAAACTCCAAATCACGTGTTGGGTAATTTCTCTCATGCACCTTTAGCTCTCACGATGCATAAGCTATGTCATTTCTTTCTTGCATCAACACAACACCCAAGCACAAATATGAAGCATCACAATAAACAATAAAATACGTACCTTCCACCGGCTGGGTCAGAATAGGTGATGTGGTCAGAAGAGTCTTGAGATTTTGGAAGCTCTCTTCACATTTGTCAGTCCACTCAAAAGGCACCTCTATTTTAGTCAGCCTTTTCAAATACATGGCAATAGAAGCAAAGTTTTTCACAAACCGATGATAGTAGCTGGCGAGACCCACAAAACTCCTACTTTAGTCATAGAGCTAGGCTGAACCCAATTGTTGACTGCTTCAATCTGTTGGGGATCTACCATTACCCCTTCCTTTGAAACCACATGCCCCAAAAAGGTAGTTGAAGTCAACCAGAACTCACACTTGGAAAATTTTGCATACAACTTCTGTTTTCCAAGAACACCAAAAATTAAACGAAGATGGTCGGCATGTTCTTCCTTAATTTTTGAATAAACCAAAATGTCATCAATAAAGACGATAACAAAAGAATCCAGGGATGGTTTAAACACACCATTCATCAACTCATGAATGCTGCAGGCACATTGGTCAATCCAAACGACATCACTAAAAACTCATAGTGCCCATAGATGGTCTTGAATGCCCTTTTCGGTACATCCTCAAGCCTAATCTTTAACTGATGGTAACCAGACCTTAGATCAATCTTAGAGAAAACTGACGCACCCTACGATTGGTCAAAAAGGTCATCTATATGAGGCAACAAATACTTATTCCGAATGGTGACTCTATTCAACTCCCGGTAGTCTATGTACATCCTCATACTACCATCCTTTATCTTAACAAAGAAGAAAGGAGCACCCCACAGGGAAGCACCAGGATGGATGAAACCTTTATCAAGAAACTCCTGGATTTGAGATTTAAGCTCTCTTAATTCTACCGGAGCCATGCAATAAGAAGTAATGGAGATGGGGCGAGTGCCTGATTGTAAGTCAATGCATAAATCTATATCCCTATACGGAGGCATACCAGGCAAATCAGTAGGAAACACTTCCTTGAATACATACACTACATGAATAGACTCAATAGAGGGAGACTGAGCCTCAACATCTCGAATATGAGCCAAATATGCCAAACACCCCTGCCCCACCAGTTTCCTAGCCCGAATGAAAGATATGACCTTAGATGGCTTAGACCTGTACACCCCTTCTCACTCTAACTTTTCCCTACCCGAGATTTCTAGAGTCACAGACTTAGCATTACAATTTAACACAACATAAAAGGGGGACAACCAAGTCATACCTAAGATTATATCAAAGTCAGTCATATAAAAAATAACCAAGTCAGCCCAAGTCTGAAAACCATAAACAAAATAGGACAAGCACGATACACATGGGTGACTATGACCGACTCTCCAACTGGATAGAAACATGGATGGAGGCATCAAGTATATCACAAATCGCATCAAATCCCAAGGCAAACTGAACTGACACATATGAATAAGTAGAACCCGAATCAAACAAGATAGTAGTCATCCAGTCACATACAAGAATAATACCTGTGATCACTGCATCAGATGCCTCAGCCTCGGTCTTGCCCGAAAAGGCATAACATTAAGCCCTATCATCTTGACGAGCGACCTTCTTGCCTGGCTGCACTGTTCTACCTACATTACCATTTCCCCGACCTTCACGGCCTCGCTGATTTCCCCCTCGCCCACCTTATGGACGTCCTCTACTATTATTACTCCTGCCCGCTGGTACCACTGCTCTGGTCTATTGTTGCACTGGGTCAGACATACATGGATGGGGACAATCTCTCCTCATATGCCAGGTTCTCCATAATTGTAAAAAGTGAGGTCAAAGGACGGCTTGCTTTCAGACACAGGCGCGACTCCCTGACTATCCTGAATGTAAATCTACTGTGGAGTTCTCGAGTAGCCACCTATAGAAGCGGTCAGGGCTGATTGAATTGGCCGGGCTGCAAGCGTCGGCCTAACTGAAAATTACCTATGTTCTTGGGCTTCTTAGCCAAAGCCCTTGGCCTGCCCATCACGTCGAACTCCTTCCACTTTTTTCACAAAGTCTTTCACCTTATTAAAACTTTTACCTATAGGGGGGGGGTACCTAGTTACTCTTATTTCTTTTCATGGATACCATATTTTAGGATTGATCGGTATTATTTGGGGCGTAGTACCATGCAAGGCGGGGACTCTGTGTGATTTCATGTTGTTGTTAATTTTTGTATTGACATTTGAGCATATGTGGCCTTAGTCAGATTAATCTAGTGCTGCCTTAGACTTGCGCTCCTTGTGGCATGTTAGCCTTGTTTATTCTCTGATGTCATTTAGATGGATTAGATCCCTGTAGACTAGAATAGCAGACCTGAGTCTGGTGGTATGGACCTTGGTTTAGGCATTTTTGCAGATTTATTGATCTTCTATTTTCTCTTCCTAATTTTGTGGCTTTGATGCTGTTTAGGAAGCAAAAAATCTTACCTTAGTATGGAATAGAGGTTTTGTGCTTTCATATGACTTAGGATTTGAGTGTTTTAGGCTTGGATCCTTCTTTTGATTCCTTGTGAATGGAAGTTGTCCATTGTGGTTTGGTATTGATATTTGAGATCCTTTTCAGAGTCGACACGCCCCCGAGTCACTCTTGCTAGCTAGGTGGCTTACGCCATTGGGAGTGGACTAGCTGGTTGGGTGGCCTTAATATATTTGAGATCCTATTCAGAGTCAACACGAACTCGGGTCACTCTTCCTAGCTGGGTTGGGAGTGGACTGGCAGACTGCGCGGCATAGATTGATTTGTCACTCTTGCTAGCTTGGCTAGGAGTTGACCATATTATTGGGTATTTGTGGTTACTTAGGCTGGGAGCTTGATTTTTGCTTCTTGGGTTCAAATCCCTTACACTCTTCATTCTTGTAGAGCTAGATATTATGTGTTCTTGTTAGGCTTATAGGGGTCCATCCAGGTTTTATTTAAATTTGCAAACGAGTGTACCTTCTGGGCTTAGGGGTTCAAGTTTAGTTTTGTTTAGCTATACATAGATTTACTTTTGATATGCTCATGTGCTCTCTTTCATATCTGCTTTAATTTGACCTCTGTTTGTGTCTAGATTCTATATTTTCATATTGCCTTTATATTTCTTGCTCAGTTGGCCTATGATGCCTGCTGAGTAGATATTGTTTTGGTACTCATGCTACACTCTACATCTGTTTCATGAGGCAGGTCCTAGTACCAGCTACTAGTGGTGATTGTTTGTGCCATCTGTAACTTTTTTTGACGAGAGACGAGGGTGAGCACTTGACGTCTTGGACTTGCTAGTCTCCTTCTGTTAACACCCAATTTTGATCGACCTATGATCCTTTCAGAAGTGCTATTCGATAAATTATGTATTTTTAAAACATATTTCTGGTTGAAAATTTTAATTGATTTTGTCCACAAATTCTATATTTTAGTATTCATAATTTACGAAAAAATATTATATATATTATTATCAAATTAAATTATTATATTTATTGATAGTTGATCTCGAAATAATTATTTTAATTAAATGTTTCAAAATTTAACTGTGTTTAATTTGTATGAAAATATTATAATATGTGTAGTATTTTATTAATTAGATAGCATTTCCAAAATCTTCCTCAAAATTATTTAAATTTTATCCTATTCAATTCTAACTCATTTCAATTCTAGCCTCTCGTCCAATTCAATTTCATTTTAATTTTAGCCTCTTATTTCAATTTAGTTGCAATTTTAGCCCTTTTTCGAAGTGCAATTATAACCAATTTATTTCAATCTCAGATCTTCAATCCAACACCTATCTTTAATCCTAACTGTTGATCTCTTTTATTTAAATCTCAACCCTCCATCTATTTTGTAATCGATGACCCAGATTCACCAAGTTATTATTTCCTATTTAAATCTAAGAAAAGACCCCAACCCTAACAAAAATAATTCATTATCTTCTTCTCCAAAAATCAGTAGCTGCCTCTCCTCTTCTCCTCCCTTCGTTGTCTCCTCTCCGTCCAGCAGCCACCATGCGAGCCACCGGCTGACCCCAATCACCAGTGAGCTCTATCTCCCCTTCACCTCCTCTCTTTCTCTTCTCTATTTTTCTTCTCCAATCAGCAGCAACAAAGCAGCAGTCGAGCGAAGAGCAGCGACAAGGCGAGGACCACCAGCTCCGACCGGCAAAACCCTGTCGCCCTCCTCTTCTCCCTTCTCTCTCCTCTCTTTCTTTTTTCTAGCAAGAAACAATAGCAGCTGCACGGGACAACAAGTAGCCGGCGAGATCCCAGGCGGCTAGCAGCTTGTCGAGAGCAACCAACAATGGCGAACTCCGGCGAGAACATGCAATGCAGACAAC